CGCCTTACAGTAGGATTTCTGACTGGCCACTGTCAGCTAAGGAAACACCTACATAATATGGGGCTAGTGGACACACCTCTATGCAGGATGTGTGAACAGGAAGATGAGACTGTCAGGCATATCCTGTGCGAGTGCCCGGAGTTATCGTCAATAAGAGAGTGTGTGTTCGGCGAGTCTTGGCCTACACCTGCCGATATAAAGGAGATGTCTCCCAGCGACCTGTCCACCTTCCTGGAAAGGACAGGATGGACGACGACCTAGGAGGACAACTCCTCGGGAGGATGTACAATGGGTCACATGTGGCCTAAGTGCGTGGGCTTACACTCACCCTCCCTACTCTACAGATACAGATAGATACCCCACCAGGGTTTTCGGCTTTGGGAAGTGCCTGGGTGGCTTATCGGTCTCCAACCACTGTCCTGAACGTCTTTGTTATCGTAGAGGATCCACTTTTCATCACACGTGCATGCACATACAAAATCGCATGGAAGCTGATGATCAGTTCTTCCGCAATTCTAGGCACCGTTTGTGATGAGTCAGGGTCCTCAAATCCTCGTTCTGGATTACTGTAGGTCGACCACTTCGGGGCTCATCTTCGAGGCTCATCTTCAAGGCTGAAATTTACGGAACGAAATTTGACTAACCAACTTCGAATTGTGCGTTGATTGACACTATCATTGCCAAATACCTGGTTGATTTTTCGGTTTGTTTCGGCAGCGCCAAAGGTAGATCATCCAAATCGTCTTCGAAAATCGACATTTAAAACTGGTGATAGGTTTCCTCATTCAGAATTCCGTTAAATAAATGAGGACCCAAAATTTTATCATTTTTAAAGTCTTGCCAACACGTTAATACTAAATCGCACTTGAGGTCGAATTTCTCGGAACTGCCTGGGGTTGTTTATGCTCCAAATGTAATCGTTATTTCGGTTGAATATCCCACAATTCGTAAACGTGCTTTCATCTGTCCAAGCTACATTTTCCAGGAAAACAGGAAAACCACTTCTTCTTATTAGCCAATTACGAAATTCTAATCACCTTTCGGGATCACCTGGATGCAATTTTTGTGATATGTGTATGTTGTAACATTTTAAACCCCTTTTTGAGATGTCTCCAAGCACTTGTCTGACAAATATTTATTTCGGAGGAAATTTGACGTGTAGATTTTCCCGGGTTCATATTTATCTGCAGATCATTAATTTTTTTTTGAAAAGAACACAATGTCTAACTTACCTCATACATACCTCATTTATCAAATTTTATTTAGTTTCCTGGTCCATTCTGTCTCCGTATTTTTCCTCGGCTTTTCAAATGAACCAAACTCGGTGAGATTTTGATCCAATAACTTGTACATATGGTTTTGTCTTTTGGGATACAGGTTTAAATATATATCTGAAATCCTAACACTGTTTCTATCGTAATTGTAATACATTTGTATCATATCTCTTTTTTCTTCATTCGTGAAAGCCATTTTTCGCCAAAAATTCAATGACTTTTATAATAACAAAATGTCATTGAGTGTAACAAATTGAAAGTCAAATTCAGAAACATCAAAGTCAAAGCCTGTAATGATTAGAAATTTTTTTTTCAATGTCTCCAATTTTTCGAAAAAGAATGATACCTTATGATACATCATTGAAAAGGTAAAATCTGGTTCTATTTAAAAGAGGAAGAATCCAATGTAGCAACCATAAGAAAAAATAAAGTCCGGTGTGGCCGGACGGAAGACGAAACGTCGGATAATAAATCTGAAAACACCATTATTTAGCAGGGAAAAAGTGACATTGTGGAAGTGCAATTTATTTCCGAATCCTTCGAAAAATAAAGCTAGAACAAAATAAAAAACCATTTTCCGAAATTTCTATTTTTTCCGGATATCTCCGGATATATTCAGAATTTCAGAAATTTCTTAACGGCATATTGTTAGTCAGGTAAATACGCAACTTTGTCCCAAATGAACCATTTTCGTATCTCTCATAGTTTTCGCGATCCCAATGGTGAGGATCGAATTTGAAACACCCTGTAGAGTGCAACATTCTCTATCAATCAGTACATACTACGATACAGAAGAATGAATATTCATTAAGATATGGAGCTACAAAAACACATGACATTGAAACGGACAAAACTTTTGAAACAACCGATATCTCTCAAATTTCTCGATATGTGAGACACACTGTATATGTCTTGGCAGTACTTTTCAAGCGTTATTTATTCGGGATTTCGAAACTATTGTGGAAACTACTGTCAAACACCTGTTGATGTAACAAACGACAATAAAAATATGAAAACAGGATATCGCGAAAAAAGATATAAAACAGTCCATTCAAAACCGTTCTCTTCTAAAGTAAAATCCGTTTACTGACTCTCTGTCTCTTACACAGATCCCACCATCAGATTATTCGAAGAATGTACTTGTTACTATTGCAACCAGTTGTATAAACGAAACAGTTGCTTGTCTCTTAGGAAGTAATTTGGATTTGACAAGAAATATGTGGGAAAATGTATCTTACTTACTGACTCGACTTGAAACTTGATTTTATACAGATATGGAACGAAAAAAAATATGTATGTATGTGAACTGGATTGGAAATGCATCAGATCTCTGCAGATACTAACAATTCGATTCATGTGAACAGGGCCGTAGCGAAAAGAAATACCAGGAGGAGAGGGAATCCAAATTTTCTCAACCCTACCAGCAAAATTTCCCAACTTTCGAAAAAATGAAAGCCGAAGGATTAGTTACTATTAGAATATATTAATTTCTCACTAAGCTATCCAAAGATTGGCCGGATGCCTATGCCCGTTAGGGTATGCACAAACAAAAATAAATGTTGGTAATTATAAAAATAATAATGGGAATTATTCTACTTTGGACCCAGGTCCTTGGTCTTCCACCATATCTACCATGTATAGTAATATTCAATAAAATAATATTGCGCTTATTGTTTTCTACTATTTTTTGAAGTTTTTAAACAACTCAGAATTTTAAAGTATGGGATCTCCAAGTTGGAGTTGGTTGGGAAATCCCAACCTTCTCCCGGTTCTTTCTCTTTTCTTATAACCTGTCCCTTTCTTCTCTCTCATTTTAATTTTTTTCATTTTTTTTTTCATTTTTTCACTATTATTTTTTTCTATCTTGACGGCCCAAAATTTCCCAACTTTTTCCCAAGTCGAAAAAGCAGGGGGGGAGGCTCCCCCAACCCCCCATGGCGACGGTCTTGCATGTGAATGAATGATTGAAAAAAAACACAACAAATAAATAACAAATTTCCCAAAAAATTGTATTTTTCAATATGTATATAAATAGTTCATAAGATAGTTTGTAGGTATATTTTTGTATATACATATATTTTATGAATAAAGGTATTTAAAAAAAAAATAAAAACCATTTTCTCCAACTTAGAGTCTACTCGTCAAATCAAAATTTGGGGCTCGCTATGATGATCGTATTATAATTACTCTGTTTCTTAACAGTGGAGACTAACAAATGCTCGTTATAAATTCAAACGCTAATAAAGTGCTCAAACAGAATTTTGGGATTTTTCATGATTTGCCACAGCTGGTATAGAGGTGTTTTCCATACTTTACAGGGTTCAGCCTATTTTCGTATCGCAAACGGGTTGCAAACAAAATGTTTCAAGAGCGTTTGTGTTGTTTTATACCTCCAGTGGCGTGCGTTTGGGTATTCAATCAAAATGCTTATTGAAATTTTTGGGAAAAAAGATTTTGGCTTTTCATTTCTCCATCTTCATACAAAAAATGTAGGAATATTCATATGAAAAGGAAAGAAGCAATCAATTTCGCGAAATTAACTGTATACAAAAGATGCAATGTTTGAAACCATTGGTGTAGTGATGAATATCACTGGAATTTTATTCCAACACCAAACCGTTATTTTGACACCTCGACACGTGTTTCGATCACCAAGTGATCATCTTCAAGAGGAAGATCGAACTAAATATACTTACAATGTTATCCTTATTCACACCACAGATGCCTCTGCTAGGTAAATGCGTCTTAATTGTTTCAAATCAATTTTACAATGTTGCTTTATCTACTGCTATATAGTATACTACTAGGTATTGGTTCACCATCGTTATTCAAAATATCATTAGTTAGCTTTACTTATTTCTACGCTCTCATAGGCATCTAGATGTCTGTTGTTGTTAACTTGTCTAACTAATCTCAATGAACTGAAGTCTATGGAATGGTTTTGTTGCAAAACATGATGAGCGACTGCTGATTTTTCTGGTCTTCCATATTTTAGGTGTGCCAAGTGTTCACTGTATCTTATTTTATAAAATCTTTTACTCTGTCTATAATATTTTGCAGTCTTTATATTTGATTTCATAAATTCCAGACTTTTCCGAATTCTCGACTTTGTTCTTTGGATAACCTAAAAGGCTCTGTAGTTTATGACTTGTTATAAATACAATCTCCTTACATAGTTCCTTGAAAATCTTTTCAAAGTTCCACGTGTATTGGTAGTATGGAACTGAGGTATATTTATCTCGGTTTTCTTCATCGAGATTTCGTTCATTCTTAACCTAAACTTTTTTTCCATATAATATCATAATATATAATATTACAGTTACATGAAACATCATCGAAACAATTTTTATGAACGAAAATTACGTCGAGCCACTTGTGCTCTATCCGATTTCAAACATCTATTTAATTTTTAGTTACATTCCGATTGCGAAAGATCGCGAAAATTATTATCTTGTTAGCAAAAAGTAGGTGACCACATCTGCTCGATGGGGATGGCTCGAGTGGGACGTTATAACCCCCGGTTTATATAAATGCAATTTTGATTTCACCTTTACCAGTACCATCATCTAAGCCAAACGCAACCGAACAAAAATGCAGGTACATCAATATATTATAGTGCGTTGTGTATTTATATGGTGAACTTCGTTTTTACGGTTCAGTGAAAGTTGATGTATGGAATTGAGGAAATCTTCCTATTTTTAATGCGGTATAAAATTATCGTAAATAATGGTACATCATACGGTTGGTTCTCTTCACACTTGACAGCCTTACCAAATATGTAAATCAATGTTTTCCTTAGTTGATATCAAAGTAGTTAAATTAGCAAATGACTCGTACAGTATCAAATGACTTTATTCCATTGATAAAGTACACATTTTTATTATAATTCATTTCATTATTCATCATTTGGTTGAAAATTATGGCGATCAAACAAATTTTGTTCAGAAGATTTTAATTTCACTATTTCATTCATTGTAGATGTTCTATGTGTATTATATCGAATATTCAAGACATCTTTAACTTGAGAGGTGTTCGTGGTTTTGATTTGAGAAAGAATGAACTCATTTATTCGAATAAAATTAACATAAAAGCATGTATCCTTGTATCCCAGGAATATTGAAAGTCGTTGGAAAAATTGTTAAAACTTATTAATACATTCGATTTGAAAGGGTTATATATTCATTCAAAGTAGAACTCATGTGAATGATATCTGATTCTTATTCCTCAACAAATGTTCGATATACAAACTGAATAGAGAAAAGTATCTTCTGTATAATTCAGTGTTCATATAGAAGTATTTGTTTCGAAAGAATTTTTTTCTTTCGTGTAATTCAATGTTTATATGAAAGTAGCTGTTTCAGGAGGACTTTCTTTCAGTTTGTGTCTGAAAGTAACTTCTTTGCATGATCTACACATCCACGTATAGAGTTACTTATTTTCAAATTGATTATTTTCCTTCCTTTCTTTGGAAGATTCTCTCATCCATTTTTTTGTATCAGATGGAGTAGTAGAAAGCCAAAAACTTTCTTTTCCAATCATTAATACAGGTTATTGTATAATTGTATATAGTGAATATTATACAATAAACAAAATTAAGGAGTTTTAATATGGATTTTTATTAGGTTTCGGCCAGTTCTATTTAATAATTGAAAAAATTGTTATTTGTGAATTTTTTTAAAGTTTCTTAATATAACCAATTTATTATAGGCATGATCCTTTCAAATTTTGAGCTACAGGCAAGGTATTTGAAAAATTTCAAATGTCGTATTTGCTTACAAACTGATAACAATATTTCTGATTTTTTTGTCACTTGATACTGGAGTGATGATATTTGTGATATAAGGACATCTTTTGATTCAGCAAATTGAAATATCTTTCACCATTTAGATTTTCTTTTAAAAGAGTCCTGTAATATGTTTACCGTTATTTTGAAAAATTGGGATTTCCACGAAAAATTCAATAATGTAATTCAAGCTATCAAAAATTTGTCTATGGAATTATTATCACTTTCTTGACTTGTATGTGAAATTAAGTGAAATAAAATAATAATGGTACGAATACATAGATTTCTAGTCTTTGTTACAATGAAATAATAATAATAATAATATTCGTTCCCCATCCTCAGGCTCATACAAGCTAATAAGCCTGATGTAGTCCTTCTCGATCATCAGAGCAAGACGACATTTGTCATGGAGTTTTCAGCTCCTGGATGGAAGGAAAAACGGATGAAATATCGAGATTTTCTCTTCGAACTCCGCAGACTCTATCCAGATCACTCTGTCAATATGGTTATTCTGATCATTGGAGTCCTTGGTGAATCTTAAAATCATACTGGCTTGCCGCACTGAGGCAGAAATCTTAGCCGCACAGATGCAGAAGGCTGTCATTCTTGGCTCACTGCGCTTGCTTAGGGCACATGATTCTCAGACCTAATTATCACTTACTCCACGGCGTGGGGAGTGATCATTGGTTGATAATGCTGGCGCGCCCTCCCGAATGTATCGGGGCTTCGGGGGATAGGGCTTGATCAGCGCACACTACGGTGAAAAAAAATAATAATGTCTTTTATTTACCAAGGTAAAGAAGAAAGTACAAAAAGAAAAATACATTGGGTTTGGTACAATCCCGGAAAGGAATTCAGGAGACAAGCGTGTTGTACACGCCGAATCCTGCTCTTCCATTCAACTCCTTTACAATATACAAAACTTAAAGTATTCATCAAACATATAATGTACAAAAAATTATAGTGCCTTTGTAGTAAGAAAGAGAAAACAAAATAAAAGTAATGAAAGAGGGGTAATTCAAAATGCTTACAGAATGACAACTTTTTATACAAGTGTTCTGTGTATATTCTACAAAAATTATATAAAACTATGTTGTTTCAGGTATTTTACGTGATACTTTTCGTGGGTATAGTAAGTAGCTACCCTGTAGAATATGGAAGACAAGGGTTTGCGTTGCTTCAACACGCTCCAGTTGCTTTGAAAGCGGAACCGGTGGTAAGTGCGATTGAAATGGCTCAATATTTCAATAAATAGTTAGTATACAGTAACTGGGAGGGGTTTAAACTACGAACAAAGCATTCGTTCTGGGTTTCGACTCGCCGTAGGTATCATCAGTGGTGCTGGGCTCAACCAGGACGAGTCTGAGAGGGTGAAGTCGTATCTATCGACTGAAAACTCAGTACTCGAATATCAAAAAAAAAACAAGGCTTCACAAGGCGATTCGTTGCAAAAGCAAACTTTGACTGCTGAATAATAATAAATATAATCAGAGTAGTTAGAAACTGAAATAGTTTCATGTCACACCATGTTACACAGAGATCCATATTGTTTCAAACCCCTCTTTTAATTGTATATCAACGACTCATTGGAAAAAAACAAAAATCCAATTCATAGCTTCGCTGGCAACAGCAACACTTGTCTCGTCATTCCATTTGGATTCCAGGACATCAGCTGCGGACACACATCTTCACCGGCAGCAGGAGGTTGCATATCTGAATGAGGATCTAGAAGTGATTTCGAATTGGGGTGAAAATAACCAGGTTCAATTCAATGCCACAAAAACCCAGGCACCGGTTTTCTCCAAGAAGATAAATGTCTTCGAACCGGATATAATAATGTCAGGTCAGACAAGTCTTTTTCTGCTTCGAAAAGTTTGTTGGGGGTTGAAATTGACACCAATATGTCTTGTCACAATCATGTTGCTGGAATTGCCTCAGCAACTTTTGATGATTTATAAAGCTCAGATCAGACCTTCTTTTTGTATGATTTTTAAGTTGATTCTTGTTTTGATATTCAATGACTTTTCTCTGATGCCGGATATCCTTCACAAATGAGTCTTATTTTGAAATACTCCTAATAGAAGTCTCAGAAAAAGTATAGTATACTACTAACAAGTAATGGCCACATTTCTCGTCAGTTGAATAATATACCATTTTTTTTGTATTGTTGACATATTCTATAAATTACTTTCAATACTTCATAGAAACATAAAAGTTGTTGAAAATAAAGTTCGAATATTTTTAATTTTTTTTTCATACAACAGTATTCATATACTACATTTCACTATTTTCCACTATAATTATATAAAATCTCTTTATGAATAAAATTTGTCTATTTTCATGACTATTTTCACAGACTAAACTGAGTTAACTCGAATTAAAAACAATATTTTTCCTTCAATATTTCATTCATCAATTAGTTTTCATTTATTTGAAACGTTGCAAAATTATTTATTGTAAAGGTACATATTCAATAAATAAGTTGTTATGAAAAATCCGATATGACCATTATTTTTTAAAACGAAAATGAAATGATACTCATTTACCTAGGCTTTATTCAATAATGACTTCATAAGTGTTCATTCACAATACAAGCTCAAAACTTCAATAAAATCTCAATGAAACATATCGCGATGGAAACCAGAGCCCAAACACAACGCATTCATGATTCAACACTAGACAGCGTTGTTTCGAGCCGTCATAAGTCGCATCAGTAGTCGGTCGGAGGCCAGGCGGTTCGACACGGGTGCTTTCTTCACTCACTCGAATTGACTGCTGTGTTGATCGGTGGTTCAAGCCCTAGTCTGAACAATCGATTTTCACTTGCTATCGTCACGTTGAAATGTAAGACCTCGTTAATCCTTAGCTCGCACAAGTTTCGACTTCTGAGGGTTGTCGTTCGTAGGGGTGTGACGGTTGGTTAACGGAAAAACAGATTGAGGAACAGATTGGAAAACAGATCAGTAGTGCTAGGCTTTACAAATGACCGCCTTAGGGAGCCTCCTCAATTTTTAATGTTCGAGAATTGAATTCTCTGATGACCACAGTTGGGGTTCACTCACTCAGGCTTGTCTTTCAAGGAAAGTTGTGCTGGCAATGCATTTTTGGTTCAGCCTAGCATCACTGATGAGACCTATGGCCGTTCGAAACAGCTCTGTCTAGTATTCGATCATAAATGTGCTGTTTTCATTAGTTGCCTTGACATTTTCATTAGTTGCCTGACATGGCAATGAATAAGTGATGAATATTACTGGAGTCCTATCCCAACACCAAACCGTCATTTCAAAACCACAACACGTGTTTCGATCACCAAGTGATCATCTTCAAGAGGAAAAAACTCCAAAAATGTTCACGAGTAAATATATGTTTAGACTCGTTGAAACAAAACCACTTAAACCATTTTTACAAATTTTGTGTCGTATCAGAAAATGGTAATTATCAGAAAAGGACCTTGTACTGAGGACTAATACTAAAACTCAAATGATTTTCATAACGCCGTTGTGTGGATTAGGAAATGGTAGTCAGTGAACGTGATTTAAAATTCTGGTGATTTCTAATGCCATTCGAGAACGTAATTTCCTTAAAACGGATACAAGAATCTCGTAAAGTACTAGAATCGATAGTAAATTATCTCAAATAGCGAGTAGCGAGTTGATGATTTTTATGGTAAAAGAGATTCATTACGTTTTTGTTCCAACTCTCGCCGCTATTTCCTTGTACATTACATTACCCTATAATTGATGTAATTTGTCATTTGTTATTTTCCCGGTAGTCAGAAGTTGTTGATTTCACAATGATGTGTACAGTATCATGGGACAAATCGTATTTGATTACTCTAATATTATATATACAAGGCCTGTTCAAAAAATAAGGTGAATTTTCATTTTTCTCAATTTTTTTTCATTTATTCATCAATTTCTGTTCCGTCCCCTTGAAACTAGTCCCCCTCAGATGTAATAAACTGTCACCAGCGTTTTTCACAATCCTTGAAGAAGGTCTGATATCCACTTCTTGGTGTGTCTTTGAACTCTCAGTGATTCGGTTTTTATCTCCTCAATCGTCGCAAACCGCCGCCCTTTCATGCATTTTTTCAATCTTGGGAACAGAAAAAAGTCGCAGGGTGGCAAATCTGGTGAATACGGTGACTGAGGCATGATTACGATGTTGTTTTAGGCCAAAATATCATGAAAATTGCTTCTCGCAAATAGCGTATAAATTCAAAATAATATTCTTTATTGATCGTACGACCATGTGGCAAGAACTGATGCACTATGCTACGGTAATCGTCATTCACATCTTCTCGACCTTCTATGAAAAGTTTGTACCGTTTGTAATTTATAGTACAATCACCGCATACCACTGTCAATATTTTACCCGAATTTGAATTTTACCTGCAGAGCATGCAGTTGAAATTATAATGGTTATAAGATCTGCTCGTTAGAAAGTTCAGAACATTCGAGAGTATTCCAAAGCCTTCCACAATATTTCAGAACACCCTGGAATACTTTAAAATGTTTTCAAATGTTCGGGAACAGCCTGGAACATTTGAAAATATCTCTGAACATGCTAGATATGGAGTGATAGCTTGTGATCCCTTCTCCAAGAAGAAAGTATCCGTTTCTATCTGAAGGGCTTCTCTTTGAAGATATGGAGCTAGATGATTCGCCTTCTAGAAAGTTCCATAATATCAAAGAATGTTCAAGAGCATTCCAAAAAATGACGAAGATTCTGGAATATTGTATGGTCATATTCCGACATATTCGGGAACATTCTGGAATATTCCAGTTTATTCTAGAATATTGTAAATTATTCACCTCAACAATAATGGATTCTACATAATTGCAAATGCAGATGATATAGTTATCTTGCAGACCGGCAAATTTGTGAACATACTGTGCGATAGAGCGCAGGATGGGTTCAAATTAATAAAAATATGGTGTAAGGAACATTTACTGTCGATCAATCACAAGAAGACTGAGATAGTCTTTTTCACCAGGAAAAGAAGTTTATCGGACTCAAAACCTCCCGAAATCTTCAAAAGCAAACTAAACTTCTCTGAAGAGGTGAAATACCTTGGTACTACCCTCGACAGAAAGCTAACCTGGAACTGTCACCTACAGAGTAGAGCAAAAAGAGCATATGTGGCTTATCAGCAATGTCGGAGGACAGTGGGACACGCATGGGGTCTTTCACCTCGTGTGGTCATCTGGAGCTACACTGCAATAATAAGACCTATGTTAACGTACGGAGCCATTGCATGGGGACCGAAAGTTCTACAAGCAACGGCCATCCAAAAACTATATCAAATACAGCGATTGGTTTGTTTAAAAATCACAGGAGCCATGAGAACAACACTAACCGCGGCAATGGAATTAATATCTGGTCTAACCCCTCTGCGATGAAAAACACCTCTATAACAAAATTAGATCCAGGGTTCTTATTCGTATAACATTTTTTTGCTAATGAATTGATCTTAGTAATGTTCCTTTGATTAGTTGTTTCAAAAAATTGAAAAAAAAAATTGTTGCATGAAACTTTTATCAACACGCAGTCTTGTTGCTGAAAGTCATAATGTGATCTGTTTAAATCTTACTTACTATATACATATGTGTTTGTAATGAAGTATGCATGCATATGTATAACTTTTTGTAGAGTTTTAATGGAGAGTTTATTATAATTTCACTTTCAGTACGTCGATAAAAACGTTTATTATTAATAAATCTTCCCCTTAAATAAATTCGTCCATTGGCAAAAACCGTATGATAATCTATACGGTAATTTTTGAGTTTATTGTGTTTAGAAAGACAGACAGACAGAAAGACAGACATGCGTCGCAGGAACCTTCAATTTGTAATATTTATTGATATGCATTCAGAAATAAACTAACAATTTTTCAGGCGTATCCCAAATACCGTTTCGAATACGGAGTCAAAGATGGGCACACTGGCGACATCAAAGAGCAAACGGAAGAAAGGGACGGAGAAGTCGTCAAAGGAGAGTACTCTCTTGTTGAACCAGATGGTACTGTCCGCAAAGTACAATACGAAGACGACGGGCATAGTGGATTCAACGCTGTTGTAACCAGAACTGGACATGCGGTCCATCCGGCAACACCGCAAAAGTTGCCGCACTATGAATACCACCATTGATTGGTTTGAATTTGAACTTGAATTGATTGATAAGATATTCAGTGTATACACGATATGTGTTGACCACTTGAATTATCTGTTGATTTCAATCAAATAATCACTTTTTCTCGTGTGCCTATTGAGGCTGACCGTCAGTCCTGGTGCTGGGTTAGTTATTGTTTTGATTTCGAAAAAAAAGTTAATGTATTATCCATTAAGCTTTTATGTATTGTTGTTGTTTTCTATAGAACTTGAATACGGAATTTGATACTTCAACGTATTCTGTGAAAATTTTAATATTATGGCATAATACATCCTAAAAAAATTTTGAAAGTAACGCAATTTTCATTTTCAAGAGCATATATTGTATTATTTTTTATTCAACATTTTTACTATTGTATACCATATGAAGTTTATTGTTATTGTCAATTGAATCGAAACTATCTCTTTCAAAACTATTCTTACACTGAAAAAGCATTCATAATATTCTTCATAATTTGAATAGTTGTACAGCACATAAAATAGTTGAACAAAATGAAAATATATATAATAAGATAATAAGAATCGAAAGTACCTAATGCTTGAAAAACAGATACTTACATTATATAATATATTCATATACATTACGACAAAATATATTTAGTCATACAAACTGTGTTTAAGATGTTAAGTTCAAGTATTCTTTGGCATTATTACACTGTTCACAATAGAGCAAATTTTACAAAGTACATACCTAAGAATAATATTAGCTTATAAGATTATGCCAGTTCCCTATATACTTACATACATTTCTTTTAATACAAACTAGTGTCAGAGGTAGTATGAAAGATTGTATACATTTATTATTTACTCTAATTTGATCAGATCCTGTGTTTATTTGTGTTTATACATCTGTAAGTGTTATTTTAACTATATTTTAACATACATCTATGTACGACAACTGACTTTGTCAACAAGAATTGTATTCTTTCGACAATAAAGCATATTCTGATTCTGATATAGAAGAATAGTTTTTTGGTTTGAGCTATACGTTGAAATTTTGATTTTCATTTACGAAAATAAATAGATCTGAAACCGGAAATTTGAAATTGAATAATAAATTGAATATTCCATGGGGACATTGAAAATCGTTATATTCCTTAGGATTCTCTTTCATTTTACGGTCAGAAATTATACCAGAGTCCCGACAAAAAAATTGTAGACTTGGAGAAAATCAAATGGGCCATAAACTCATACCCACCTTACTTATGAGGTGTTCGCCGAGACCAGATGATATTAACCCAGTAATGCTGCAAAAACGACATATTGGGGACCTATCACTGGCTACCAGGCCAAAATGCCTACAGATAAGTTTTGTCGATTGAAACTGTTTTATGCGGGTAACGGAAAAAGCTGCTTTCTTGGATAATGTGTCCCTAGAAACAATCATCCAGGCCTCGAAAAGAAGATGTTCAACGTTACTAGCTGTAGGTGAATCGACTACATCAACAACCATCACGAGGGAGACAGTTGTGGAAGGAGTTTTGCCCCAGCCATGAATATTTTACCTAGATGGATCGTTGGGAAAGGGCTGAACATAGCATTCACCGAGAGGAAAAAAATAGAAGGACTAGTACCTCTGAAAATTGTATCTGGTGAGGAGGAATCGAATATCTGGGAGTGATACCAGATCCCAGACTGACTTAAAACCAATATCTAGAAGTACATTGGGGCTGGAATCACACATGATGTATTGGCTCTACACCATGGTGGTTAAACTCATAATAACATGTGCATCTATGTACTGATGACTAAATATGGAACACATGACCGTTATTACCAAACTAAGCCAGACGCAGAGACTTGTATGTTTAGGAGCAATGAAAACCACTCCATCAGCTGCATTGGAGAAGCCTTTGTAACTTTCTCCTTCACATCCCAATGACGAGAAGAACTGAAGGAATTGGCGGACAGGGATAGACCGACTTGGACGCTAGGACTTTCAGGCATCGCAGACAACTTGAAACCTGACGAGTTAGCCAGACATGGATCCTCAACTTTATACGAAGGCATTGAACCTTCTGTGAGGAAAACAGAATCTTTGGTTTGGAACCAAATTCGAAAGTAGGTTTATGAGAAACATATTCAGGAACTTACACGGGAGGGCCGTCCGAGGACCGTCCGAGAAGAGAACTGAAGAACTGTTTCAACAAAGCAGAGATCGACTCAGAACAATTACAGAGCTATTCACTGGACACTGTCCAGTGAGTCCAGTGTCCAGAGAGAATATATAAACCAAATAGGGATACCTGCAGGTGATGCAGCAGAGGGACAGAGGCAGCTGATCATGCAAATGTGAGGTATTAGATTACAGGAGGCGAACATTAAAAGGACAACCCAAATTATGCTCAGGAGAATATGTCCTGTACAAACTCTTAGAGGGAACAACATTGTTGAAATGGGTGTCATGCAAAAGATTGGGGAAAACGCAATAATCCCATGAGGCAGCAGTGTTTTCAGATGATTCGCGAGAAATGCATAAGTCAGATGGCTCCCAAATGGTATTAAAAAAATCTCTGTCTGTTTAAACTCTGTTTTTCCGTTAACCAGCTATCGCACCCCTACGAACCACAACCCTCAGAAGCCGAAACTTGTGCGAGCCAAGGAATAACGAGGTCTTATCTTTTAATGTTTTTAATGTGTGATTCCTAACACGGGCATAGTAGACTTTCAACCCCAGATTAGTCTATAATTATAGAAAGCGAGAATACTGAGTTGAATACAACTCAAAAGTTATCGATGAAGATTCATATCATAAATTTAATTAGCTTCATTGTCTTTATATAACTTGGTGTTGGAAGTAAGCAAGGCTTCATTCCAATCAACCATTTAAACAAAGTGGTCGAAGTGAAGTCTACAAAGTTCGACGAAAAATGTTTTATCCGTTTTTTCCTTTTCCGGAAAAAATTCATCCCACCCGAAGCTAAAAACAACGCAACGAATATCGTCCTACTTTGACGTTCAAGGATAACTACATAAAGATCATCAGCTTGTATTTGCCTGAGGGTGAGGAATGAATAGTTCCATTGAATTCAGCATTTCTAATTCTCCACAACGAATTTAATGTCTTCCGGAGCCAAAATTAACACAGGTATTCCGTTCATGTCGTAGGAGTGTCAAAGTGGTGACGAATCGCTCGTAGGGCTGCGTTATATCGATAAATATATATCAAGTCTTCATATGCCGGACATGCTGACAGAAGATACACGGAAGTATTAGACGCTTCGCGACTGGTCCAGAACCTGGTGTCAGGAATCTCTGTACTACGATAGAAAAGTTGTTGAAGATACCATATTGTCAGACACAGATAAGCTCCTCTTGTACCGACTTTAGCCCACACGACTTGAGAAAATCAAAGATCACGTGTTACGATGAGGCATCGAATATTCGCATGTCCGCTGACGGTGTGGTACGGATGGCACCACTGATGGCCAGACGAACCTGTCTCTGTAAAGTCTTCGGCCACCAGGCACTTGCACCATACGTGATCATTGGTCTGACTATCATCACATAAATCCAATGGATTTGTTTGGGATCTAAAACCCAAGTTTTACCACAAATCCTGTCCATAGGGACAGTCTGGCTTTGTGTAAAACTTTTTCCAAGTGAGCGTTTTAGGTGAGTTTTTTATCAAGGACAATGTCAAGATATTTCACCTCCGTTCCAAATGGAATGAGCTCACCACTGAGGGAAAGTGGAGTTAGATCGTCCAGCTTTATCCTCTTGGTGAAGGCGATTGTCACAGTTTTGCTGGGGTTGACAGACATCTGCTCCCTCAGGAACCAAATGTGAATAACGTCCAACGTGTTTTGGAGAATATTACAAGCTACCCTTTCCCGACGTGGACCTTGCCATGATAATAAGTTCATCTGCATAAGCTTGCAGATCTACTTTTCTTCTGTCGAGGGCATCAAGCAGACTATCCATCAGAAGAAGTGATTCTATCATCAATAATTTGACAACGCTGAAATGGCTGACATGCACTTTATTTATGGATTAGCAAATGGAAATGTGGAAGAAGCACGGAGAATTCACCAGAACAGATATCTTCTCCATGTGCTGAAACATTCAGAATGCTATTTGCAAGATAATGTGGATCTGGTAGTTTTAACAAAAATGCAGTTGGGGGAAGACCAGAAACTGTAACATCGCCAGAACTTGAGCTTGATGCGATAGAAGATCATTCAAATAGTAACAGGAAGATTGCACTGCAGCTGAGACGCTACTAAATAATAATAATAATAATAATCTTTATTGGTTCCAAAGACCTAAAGGGTATATAAAACAAGTCAAAAGAAATTTGAACATAGATTAGGCAAACAATACATGCACTTCAAAATGCTATAAGGAGCAAAGATAGTTCACTACGAAGATAAGAACTCGTCCATAGTATAATACGAGTTATCCAGTATGTTTTTAGCGTTTTCCTGAATCTGAAGTAAGATACCTCCTGATCGATTTTTGTCAATAGGTGGTTGTAAACCCTTATTCCATTGGAAATAGGGCCATACAAGCATATATTTAACTGATTTTGGGGTGTGTATTTTTGAGTTTAGAGAATATATTTAGCATTTCTTCCTCGGTGAAAGGAAGTACAACCATTGAAGTAAGATTTCTGTTGAGGCTATGATCAAAGTTGCTACTTTCAACCTGTGGTATATCGTCTATAACCTGTTTGGGAGCACCTATGAAAATTTTAATCTAGAGCACCCTGATAATTTTAATCTAGTTACACCAAATCGGTGTAAGGATATTCTTTAAATACCTTTTTTTAAACTTCAACGCTCTGTATCCCAGAAACAAAGCAACTCCAGACATTTGTTCATGAGAACTTTGTTCATAAAACGACCTAGCAAATTACCTTCTGAAGTTTCGTACCTTAGTTTGACAGTGTAATAGTGGAATGAAGTTGAGTTTGCGTCAATTATCGCTAGCCATATCCATCTTCCAGTTGTCTAGCAAACCCAAAACAGACTAGCTTGGAAGGAATACCCCAAAGATGGGGACAAATATTCCTTGAATTTATGACATGTGATTAATTGCAAGTGTTCAATGAAATGAAATATTTCTGCGTATTATATTCTGTACTCGGTAGCAAAAGTTACATTTCTCGCGCAAGCAGTCAACATACATCTTTTTCTTTGTTATCTCACAAAATCAAAATAAATTGAACATTAAACTGATAATAAATATTGTAGTTGGTGAAGTGTTAATTTCAAAAACAAAACTGTGAATCACAAA